CTCTCTCTGACCTGCACGCAAGCTGTAAAATGTAAGAGTAGCTCACATTCCCGCCTTTGCAGATTACCGACCCAATGTAAGACTCTACTATACACAGTTTCTGTACTGGTAATTATCTGGGTTAGGGGTGTGATTTTCTTTTTAAACCAAGATAACTATAATACAACCCAGAGCACAGACAAGTTATACAACTGTGAACTGTACTTCCATTTACTAGCATGAGGATAAGTTATATTAAATACAGCTGTACCAGTACAACTATGTTCACAGTGCCAGAATGGAAAAAGTTGCATGTAGACAAAAATCAGTTTCCAGATAAGTTCTCTGGACATAATTATTTTCCAACAGTGTTATATACTCAATAGAGACTTATCCCTTACAAGTTCTAGGCTTTATTCAGAGTAGACCTGAACCAGCTAGTCAAGGACACAAGCAGATGAAAGTTTCACTATTTTAACAAGGAGGAAAATATACCACAGTGCTGCTATTGACCCAGTGTAACCAGTTAATTCATCCACTCCTATCCCACATGAAGCAAAACCACAATGATTTGCCTCCGCACCTTATAGTTACACTGCTTAATATAGGTATCTGTGCCCCAAGCCTCTTTCTGCTCCCTTTATGTAGGAGAAAAACATTGAATTCTATAGCAGGGTTAATGGATTGCGAAGTCATACAGCTACCTTTATGACACTAGAATAATTCTAAAAGTGTACCACAGAGTACACTTTTAGATACTATGCATATTTAATGTTCAGTGAAGCAATAAAACCTCTGCAGGGATTAAGAGTTTAGTAGAAGAGCCATTTGGAATGGTTGTTCCAGTTCCAAGATGAAGGATATAGTTCCATCTTGAGCAGAATAAGAGGCAGCTGCTTATCCAGTGTTAAGTTCTTCAGGGTCAGGCCTACTCTTGCCAAGCTTAGGCACTAAGCCATACAGCATGTCAAATGCCATACATTGTTCCCAAACCTATTTCTGGAGCAGGAGTATTAGGTAGAGGTGAGAGCAGAGTCATCCTGTCCTATTAGCACACTGGGCAGTTGTCCAGGGCAACAGAACTAGGAGGCACATTTCTAGAGCTGATCGCCCATTGTCAATGTCAAATTCCATGAGGAATTTAGTTGCCTGAAAGTCAGGAAAGAGCCAACAAAAACTAGGGCCACCTGTGGGAAGGAAGAGAATATTGAGCATCTTGGAAGTAGGGCCAGTGGTTACGCCAATGTAGTGAAAGAAGGGATTGTTCACACATAGTGGAGATCAACAGTAAATCAGGCTTTTCCTGTTAACTTAGTTACTCAGAATTCATCAGGTGGCAAAGAAACCTGGACAGAAATTAGGATTTGAAAGAGAAGACACACTCAATTAACTTTTATTAGAGACATGTTGATATTCCCTACCGTTACCAAAACCATTAAACATTTTATCACTCCTAAGACACATCAGAATTCAACTGCTTGCATCTGCAACCCATTTGTAGACATTTGGTGATGTACATACTTTTTTTCAGCTACGTTATTTGTTCCTAATCCTTTTGAAAAAGTGATTCTAAAGAGATATTTTAACTCTTTTGGCATGTTTTGTCAAGTTAAAATGCATTACAAAAATTTAGCGAGCTGCTCTAAAGTGTTCTAGTTCCCTGCATTTCAGCCTGATATTTCACATTCTTGCTTGGAGCTTTCCCTGGTACTGATGCTCTTCCAGTTATCTAAGAGATGATTCAGATCCTTTCAGATGATGCAGCAGTACAATATGCAATTGAAACCAATCAGACAACTCGGTCCTTAAGCCAGGAAAGTTAGGTAGTCTTCCTTAGAGGAAGATACAGAACTAAATTTGAGCCCAACACAGGAAGTTAACACAAAGCTTGAAATTCTAGGATCACTGGTGCCACCACATGAAAATTGCTTCATCTCTCCTTCTACTTTTTTTCCCCTTTAGCAGAACAGAAAGTTCATTTTGAGTTGGTGAATCTTTTCATTGCACCTGAAGTTTAACATTTCCCCTTTATGTACTTCAAAGTAAAGTAGAGGAACCAAAAGGCTAAAGTAAAAAAAACTGAGCGCAGAAAGGGTCCTGCCACAATCTCCCATTTACCTAATATCCTGGGTGAGAGCCCAAACTACTGGACTACGGGAGATCCAGGTTTAAATAGGGTAACCATAAATCATGAGAGAAATCCAGGATGGGGTTGGGGGGAAGCCACCATGGGGCCCTACCAGGTGCATGCATACCCCTCCCCCACTTCCAGCCCCACAACTCCCAGGACTGGGGCTGGGCAGAACAGCACAGCACAACACACACGCGCAGACACACACATGCATGGCTCTGCATTCCCACCCACCCCGTCACCAGACTCAAGTGCACAAGTGACTCTGCTCACAGCCCAGGGGAGTCTGGACCAGGGAGCAGCCCACTGGCTAGGCTGCTGGGAGAAAACTGAAGCTGTGGAGGGGAGGCAAGGGGGTGCATGCAGCAGTGGGGAGCCAGCCCCCCTCCCCTCCCCACTCCACCCTGGCGGCACCTCTTGGACAAGCAGCTTGTGGTTCTGCCTGGCCCCAGCTGGGCAGCAGCTGCCCTACTCCCTCCCTCACCCTAGGGGTTTCATCTGCCCCACCATGCCTCTTCCCCCATCCCCTTCTCTTTGTTAGCTGCTCTCCACACTGCCTGGCTGCATTCCTGTAAATTGGCTATCCACTGATATGACCCATTAATAAATTGGCCAAGAAAGTCTTTATCAGTGTATGCCTTATGCTGACTGTTCTTAATCACCACCTTTCCCTCCAAGTGCTTAAAAATAGATTCCTTGAGGACCTGCTTCATGATTCCTCCCACCCCACCCCCAAGGACTGAGGTGAGGCTGACAGGTCTGTAGTTTCCTAGATCCTTCTTCTTCCCTCTCAAAGATGGGGACTATATTTGCTCTTTTTCAATCATCTGGGGCCATTCCTGATTGCCACAAGCTTTCAAAGATAGCAGCCAGCTGCTCCACAATTACATCAGCCAACTTCACAAGCTCCCTTGAGTGCATAGTGTCCAGCCCCATTGACTTATAAACATCCAGATTTTTAAAATAGTCTCCAATCTGTTCTTTTGCCACTGTTGACTGCTCACCTCCTCCACAAACTGTACTGCCAGGTGCAGTAGTCTGGTAGCTGACCTTGCCTGAGGACTGAGGTAGAGGCATTGAGTACATCAGCACTTTCCACATCATCTGTCACTAGGTTGCCTCTCTCTTTCAGTAAGGCACCCACACTTGCCCTGATCTTCCTCTTGTTACAGACATACTTGTAGAAACCCTTTATGGCATACACCCGGTGGAAGGGGGGTGCTGTCTCCAAAGAGGAGTATACCTCCTCTGCTCGGGCCTGTAGGGGGGCTGTCAGGAAAGGCAAGGCGGACATAGAGCTAGGACTAGCGTCCAAGATCAAGGATAATAAAAAGTCCTTTTTCAAATATATAGGGAGGATGAAGAAGGCACCGGGTAATGTGGGGCCCCTGAACAATACGCTGGGCAATCTGGTGGTTGCGCCAGAGGAGAAAGCGGACCTCTTTAACCAATTCTTCACCTCCGTTTTCTTGTGTAGGGACCGGGACTTCCCCGCTGTGATGCAAGACGGACTCGAGGGGAAC